AAAGAAAGAAAGAAAGAAAGAGAGAGAAAGCTCTAAACTGTAGGGATGGGATTGCTCGTCTTTCTCCCTCATAGCACCTGGTGATTTGAACCCCATACCTTTGGACTGGCAATACAACTCCTTGTCAAAGGTCATACACGTAAAATATGCACAAGCTACCATGCTTTGGAGGTTATAATGGACCTACAGACATTCTTTTTCTTTTGTTTACAAAAGATTTTTGCATTTAAAAATCTTTTACTGAATATTTTTTTCTATGATCTTTTAGACAAAATAGCTTTGTTAGGACATGTGATAATCATCAGCTGCTTTTTATAAAGAAAATGGCAAAACTTCGTTTGAAGAAGCGCTTAAGAAATCCCACCTCTCAAAACAATCCATAACCAGGTATTCTGTTAATTTTTATTTGGTAAACGTGCCTGAGGTGTTTTTCCTTGGATTAAGCAAGCTAAGACTTTAAAAAAAAAAAAAAAGAAATAAAATTTCTCTACTGAGGTCTTGGCAAAACAGACCATAACATCTTCTTTTGTGACGTCATTCCCATTGCATTTATCTCTCAGGCTAGAACAAAGAAAATCCAACCACAATGTATACAAAATTAAATGTGACTTAAAACGCATATAACAATAACAAGGAAATTCACAACTGAATAGGAAAATCTATGTTGATCTTCAGCTCTTGCTCCCTGCTAGCTGTGTCACTTGCTTGCGGGCTGATACTTGTTTCTGTTCCAATCTTTGAAATTCCTTATTTTAAGGGCAACGTAGCATGAATTTGTGCACAAAGTGAATGTGAATATATGCACTTTAACTCTGCCACCCACAAAAAGAAAGGAAAAAGAGTCCAAGCAATATATTTTAAAAACTAAATTCAGCTTGGTCCAAAGATTTAAGAAAACACTTGCTCCCATCCATTCATACAACCACTATTTGCTGTTTACTCCTTTTCTTTCACTGACCTCTTCAACAGTAGTATTTTTCAGGGTCTGTGCCTACCACCCTCTTCTCTCTCTCTGCTTATGTTTTCCAAATAATTTTTATCTCTTTTCATTATACCAGCCCGGATTGTGATATTTATAAAAACTAGAACAAGATTTGTTCTGCTCACCAGTATCTCCTTAGGGTCTAGACAGAGTCAGTAAAAGAATATTTGTTGAATGAGTAGAAGAATGAATCTCCAAGCCAATGGCTCTCTACCTTCTGCCAAGGTTTCTCTTCTGGGTTCCAAACTCATAAAACAAAATGTTTATTGGACATTTCACTTAGACAATCCAAAGGTATCTCAGATTCCACATGCTCGAAATTTAACTCATCTTCTTCCTCCCCAGAAACTGTTATTACTCTTGTCAATTCCCTGTGTAAGTAGTAGCCTTTCCCATCTAGTTTTCTATGGTTTGATGTCATCTCTGATGCCTACCTGTTAAACCACCCTTGTCCAAGAAACTCTATTCCTTTAACTCTCCTTGACTCTACATCTCCATCTCTCCACAAGACTATAATTCAGTTTCCCATCATTTTTCACCAGCTTCATGGGTCTGTCTCCTATCAATTATTGGTCATTAATCTTGGTTTCTTCTCCAACTCACTTTCCATTACGCAGCTAGAGTTCTCTAAAGGGTAAAGCTGATAATTCATTTGTTTATTCAAAACATATTTGATGAGCACCAATCATGTGCCAGGCATTGAGCTAGGAGTTCAAGATATCAGCCTTATTTTCAGGGAACAGAAGAGTTTAAAGGACACATGGAGCCCCAGACACATCAATCAAACAAATTATTTTTAAAATAACAAATAACTTAAATTCTTTAAGAGAAACAAACATTTAAAGAAGAAGATCACTTAAAGGATTACTTTGGAAAGGAGGGTCAGGAATAGCCTCTCTTTAAGAGTTTACATCTTTAAAGATCTAAGGAGCCAGTCAGGGGAACATGGT